TACGATCAAGAACTAAGTGGAGGAAGGCTGTAAGTGGAGGAAGGCTGAGAGGGGAGTGAATTTGAGAAGTCAGAAGAAGTCAAGTTGGAAAAGGAGCCTGTGCCGAAGAGAACAAGCTTCCTTTCTGACCTGGAACAGAATCCAGGAGTGCAGACTCCCAGTATCCCAGTGGTGAACCATGAAGCCCAGAGAGCAGCTGTGTTCCTCTCACCCTTCTCATCAGCCAGGAAGAGGATGACAATCAACTGCTGCCCCTTAATTCACTGCTCAAGGCAAAGGCACCTCTACAGCCCACCACCGTGTGCCCCCCTGTGTCATTTTGATTTTTTCTTTCCGTGAAAACTCTCTCCAAAGATCTTGCAAACTTTTATCAGCCCACTTGCACATAACACTGCAAAGAACGTTGTTCTGGCTGCAACAACAGTGAGTAGTTCAAAACCAAGAAAAATCCCAAAGTGAAAAACCAACTGGGTGATGGAAACCCTTTCGGTTTATGCACAAGTGTCACTCCACATAGCCTTTGACTCCTCACCTGCCATCTCCCAGCAGCCCTGTCCTGTTCAACATCAAGCATAAACAGCGGTCAAGCAGCTGGACACAAACTGTGCGTCCTTCTCAGTTCAGTGCCTGACTGTACTTACTAGACACACTAGACTTCTCACAGAAAATAAAAAACTTCCCTTTTCCAGTAGCTACATAGAGAAGCTTCAAGTTTATCAGCTACATATTGACCAGAGATTGAGACCAACATGCTTGTCCCTGGGATTCAGTTAAGCACCACAGCACCTGTCGGCTTCTCAGCAGCTGGGCTTCGGCACTGAGCTCCGCACGCAGCCTCACCCACAGAGATGAGCAGTGGAGTGGCCACTCAGATTTCACAGAGCAGCCTATAGTTAGTAACTCAACCAGAAAGATTAAGCCTTGTGTGTCCTTCAGCCCTTTGTGAGGGTTTGTATTTTTTTTTGAAATGTGAGCGGGAAGGACAGTACAGCCACCGTAGCCTGTGGTGATGTGTGTTACTGGAATCGAACACCAAGCTCCTACACACACAGAGTAAAAAGGCAGCTCCTGCAGCTGGATCGAGTGAGGTGCAACAGCAAGTGCTGTCTTCAGGGATTCAGCAAAGAGCTGAAAATGATTTATGATGTCTCCTTTTCAAACAAAATCAGGAATCACAGTAAAAGTAGGACTGCATTTAAATCCCAGGAATGATTAAGAACATTTAATCCTCTCTCAGGTTTTGTTTGTATAAGGCTCAGCCACGAAAAATCTGCTCTTAAGAAAAAAAATTCAAAGGCAAAATCATGTTATTGCAGTTGTGCTCATAAAATACTAAATTCACAGAGTCATTTCATGGGCACAGCTGTAATAACATACTATACTTGCAGAAAACCTTGAACATCAAGTTGTATCTACTTGAATTTTACTTTCTTATATTTAATTTTTGTAAGTGTTCTCCCATGTGTCGTAGAAGCAAACTGATGATAGAGCAGTATCAAACCAAAACTGACTATCTATTCTGGCATGACATGAAAAACCACAGTGTTCCCCTCACTGTGCCTAGAACAAGTGCCAAACATTTTTCTTCTGTAAATAAGCATCTCATTCAGGTTATGGGTTAAAAGAACATAAGGGGAAAAGTCTGAAATATTCAGACAGCATTCTGAAGCTTAAACTTCCTGCATAGTTCTCAAAGCAATTTGATGATATCGGTTCACAAATAACTTAAGCAGAAGTCCAGCAGAGCAGTAGTTGTCTCAGGCTACGTAACAGGCCTTTCCAAAGAGTATGAAGTAACAGAATCAAAATGTATTTGGCAAGATGCCACCACTCAGATGATATCCCAGCCTCACGGACATGTACAGTACACAGCAGTTCATCATCTCATACTATGTGGCACTGACATTTCTTGTGTTGAACCAAAAATAGCTATAGCACAAGTAAACTGAGCCCCAAACGCAGAAGCCAGTAAGGCCTCTGCGTGTTATATACACTACAATATTTAAAAAAAAAAAAAGAAAAAAAAAAAAAAAAAAAAAAAAAAAAAAAAAAAAAGAAAGACGGAGTTGGGAAAAAACAAAAGAATTTAAAAAAAAAAAAAAAAAAAAAAAAAAAAAAAAAAAAAAGAAAAAAAAAAAGAAGAGAAACCGAGTTGAGGAACAACAGATGGACTTTCATATCCACCAGTGGTACAGGAAGGAGAATGAAGATACGGTTCAGAGAAGAAAAACCACACAACTGCTTTCCAAGTAGTGCAGAAGCAAGCACCAAAGCAAGCAGGCTTCCTCTCCGGATGCAGCACATCAGTGCAGTTCCTCAAGTCTTTAAATTCCACGAAGACCTGGAGTATCTCATCCTACAGAAGTGTGTGGACTAGCTCCCTGCACACATCCCAAACCACCAAAGCCGGAGAAAAAACCAGAGAAACTCTACCAGAAGCCAAACTCTAAGTAGCAAATTAAATGAGTTACAGAAGAAAAAACATTTCAAAGGATTTAGCTATTCCAGCAAGCTGTCAGAAAAGCATCAATAACCAGTTAACACTGATGCAGATCTCGACCCTTTTTGCATAACTGACACTCGCTACAGCTCTAACATCTGCATGCTAGACTATGCAAAAGAAACTGAGACATCATAAATATCCCCTTGGTGGCTGAACTCCCATGTCTGTGCAAGCCAGTGAAGCTAACAAAGCTCTAGAATTCCACTTCACAGAACGTGGCTTTTCTGTCCAGAACCATAATGACCACCTCCTTTGGTCTCCAGTGGAACACGAGATGCTGGGCTGCCCTGAGATTTTAAGTCCTGCTCCAGGGCTACTTGAGCCTGCTTTGCTAAAAGCCCAGATGAAATTTCTACTACAGGTTGGAGTGGGCTCCAGGAAGTGCCTCATGTCCTTGGTGCATGTTTTTCACGCTAGAGAGTGACACAGATCAAACCAGAGCATCACTGCAAATTGGTGAGGCAGCCTTTAGCCCCATGGCCAGACCAGGCAGAGGGCTCAGAAATATCCTAGCAAGCTAAAGCAGAAGAAAAAAAATAAAAATAAGACTGACTGAGTAGCATTCAGAAGAAGAGCACTCTCTTAATCTATATTTGCATAGCGACTAGTACAACAGAGACCATGAAAAGTCCGTCTTTTAAATATTATCATAATGCAAATATTTTTCTGATGGCGCCTCTGCCATCCCTGAGGAGCACAAGCTGCCCGCCGTGCCGAAGCCGCCCTGTCTGGTCACGAAACAAGCTAAAGACAACTCCCCAAAAGCCTGTCACCCCCACAGCTGCTGCTCACAGAGAGAGTGTAAATGGCTTAGGACACAAAGAAGGCAGATGTCTTCTGCTCTAAAGTGGGAGGCAGAAGCAGAAAGCCGGACATCGCATTCCAGCCAGCGCCAAACCACTACCTGGTACCCACACCCAATTCACAGGTGGGATTGCTTTATGATAAAGACCAATACACTCACACTGAGGGAATTCTCCCACACAGGAGAAGCTTTCTGTACGTCTGGATTTTACAAAAAGCTTTAAAAAAAAAAAAATGTTGACTCTAGAATTATCTTCTACTCTCCACCTGTCTGCTCTGTGACAAAACCAAACAGAAGAAACCCTTACAAGTCATCTCGTGACTACTCCAAGCAGGAGTGTTTGCTGTGCCTACAAGCCTGCCCGGATCAAAACAGTCACCTCTCGCAAGGGACCAAAATCTATCTCCTTTTAAGGTACCAGTCCCCACCATCTCCACACAAACCCAATATTTACTACACCTATGTGGAAAAGTTTATTTACTGGTAGCCAAGAAGGGGACTCTGCCATATTAAATACTTCCATCAGCTTGGTTACAATTTCATCTGAAAACCTGCAGCAAAAGGTGAACTACACACCATTCCTGGCTCCCTGATCCTGCCCCCTCCCCACAACTCAGCCTGGAGACTGCATGGTGCGAGGGATCAGGGCACTTGTAGTCTGACCTGGCTCACCCCTCAGCCCTGTGATCATCCACTTTGACACAAAACACCGGGTGGGGAAGAGGCCGATACAATCGCCCCTTTTGGCAGCAGTCAGAGTAGATTCAGTGCTTTGCACAACCACATGCCAAGCTGAGCAGAGTCATCACTGTTACCCAACTCACAGAAGACACAAGAGGAAAATCACAGTATTCTCAAACCAGAAACACAGACATCTAGTAAGCACATGCTTTAGATTTGAAGACACTTTGCATGGTGTTCTCTCAGAGGCTGCTGATGTCAAACAGAAACGCACTGTAAAAATTAAATCAAAACACGTTACTTCTGGTTTAAGGTGTTTCTTTCGACAGCCACCCAACACACAGAAGCATATCTTTATCAGTGTGCTGGGACGACCCACACAAGCTTTATACTCACTTCCAAGGGTTTAAGAAAATCCAGGTAACACCCATTAGATCCACTCCCTGGCATAGCACTGCAAGGGGCATTTCTGCAGAACATTTGCACAAGCAAAGCCCTGAGCACATGAACTGTGCACAGGGGTTTTCAAGGAGTCCGGTATAAACTATATGTGAAACGACCAAAGCTGGACAGATTTGTGAGAGTCGTCTCAAAAATGCTGTTTGTCATTAGAACACTGCTCCACTAGTCTAGACTACAAGCTTCCTAGAGCCAGAAGCACAGCCAGCAAGCAAAACCACACGAAGCCCATGACATTATACAGCCCTTCTTCAAGGCAGCGTGTAGCTAACTCCAAGAGACAAATCCCAGTAAGCCTCGCTGTGTTCCCAGGTGGATTGCTGGAACTGAAAATGAAAGGCAGTGAGGAAAATTAAACAAACAAACACGCTGAGAGAAAACTGCCGTGTTCTTTGTAAAAGGAAGAGCCTCCTGCCTAGGCCTCTTAGACAGCAAGGCTGGGGAGGTCTCCCTGTGCCCAGGGCTGCAACCTCCCTACAGAAGCCAGGTCTACCCGGGCAAGGGCCCGGTCTGGCACCCAGGGGGCTTGGAGGCCCAGGGGCAGCTACTCACATTCTGCCCACGCCCTCGTACATGCGGGTCTCGTCCACCAGCATCATGACCTCCGTGTCGGTGAGGTGGGCGTGCTTCTTCGTCTTGCTCAGCTGCTCGATCTGGATGTCGGCCAGCTTCACCTTCTGCTGCGTGTCTATCACCTTGGCCTGCAGCTCGGTGAAGGCCTGGGGGGGGATCGAGGGGATGAGAAGCTGCGGTGAGGGGCGGCCCTAA